AAAACTCTTCCCTGTGGTTAACACGATAACAGCTATAACCTGCTTACAGAAAAAACATCTTAAATTGTTCCGAGAATGTTGAGAACTTTTGGATAATATCCCAGCTGTCTCCAATATTCTCGGTTTTAAGGTTGGTGGTACAAATTTCTTCTGTCTAATCATTGACGTCGTCTGATAGCATCCGTTTATTCCTCAGAGATCCCATGTTAATTAATCAAATGATCCCATTACTGTTCCTTGGAAGATTGTGCTTCTTAGTCCTTGTCATAACAAGATAGATGCAAATATAAATAATTTAACACCGTGGGCCAGTTCATAAACAATATAGTGCAAGACTGAATTTCGGTATTTGAAGATTAGCCCCGTAGTTACTTGTTAGGAAAGGGTGCGAACTATACTATTTTATGTGTATATAATTACAAGCCTTCCAGAAAGTTAGCTATGAGGAAAGACCCTGTGTCATCGACTATAAACTATATTACCCAGCTGACGATAAGATAAAATGCAACATTCAGACGAAGGCCATCGCCATCAGCCTGGGAGTGATGTTCTGTTTTTTGTTTCTTTTTTTAATAAAATGTTTGAAAAAACGAAAATGGCCAAGACGTCTAAACTCCTATTTACAACCTACCGAGACCGACAGAACTCGAGTAGACTCCGTTAATTTGTAGTCTGAGATTTTACAAGCTGCAACTCGCCAAATTTACATGCTTTCCAAAGATTACCATCCACGATAAAAGTACGCTCAATACGCAAACGCGTGCAAATGCGCGGAATCGATATGGCTCCGAACTGGCATTGATCACTCAGCCCTACCTGATAATTTGACACTTTATCACGTTTTACCAGCTTCTTGTCGGACCGTCTTACTTCCAGATAGCATCACCCTGACTGACTGACCTATTCATTGTTAACAAGAGATGGTCAAAAGAAAAGGCAATCTCCAGACTGAAGGAAAACATATTAGGCTTGCATTGATAGTGTCTCACCCAGCCGGTATTAATTCTCTGTTTTAAAGAGCAGTGAAGGATGAACCTAACGGCTGTAGAAGAATGTTTGACACTGCCCCATGAATTAATGTAATTGAAACATTAAATATAGATGCAAGCCTATTGTGCTTAGATAAGGTGATAATTCCAGGCACCGAAGCTAGCTGCCAGCCCGGAAGCCTCTGCTCAACTGATGCTAGAAATATAGTTAATTCAGATGTAGGCTTTTAATTCCCCTGTGGAAGTTACTGTACGTTTTGTTGGAATTTGACAGAACTTCAATTTACTCGCGGGGAATGCACAATGTTTTTGGAGACTTCCTTTTATTGAATCAATCTAATTTTCGATTGAACGAGAAGTATAAATGGACGGACGGATGAGCTGTTTCATTGCCTTTGACTGAGACTGATGGCATCCGAACGACACATTGTAGTTTCCCTGTTCAGTTTTATCAGCGATTCGTCTTGCGTATCGCGAACGTCTGGCTCCGGGAGAGGCTTTTAACGGCTCCTTGTTCAGTCGTAAAAACTTTATAGTTCCGAGTTTGCATGACTAATAGGCTTTAGTCGCGGCGAATGAACGGACCAGTGTTGTTTTTTCCGTCTCAAAAGACAGGTAATATTTTGCCGATAAAATCTTAATTTCTCATAGGCATCACACGGTCTATTGCGGCAAAAGTCAACGCTAATAATGACATATAAAATGCCATGTGATCCTACAGGCTGCAGATGAAGAGAATCTACTTCTAGATTAGGCCGCACCAATTTGACTTCTGGTTTGAGAATCACCTGATCAATTTTTTTTCTGATTCTAAACAGGAAAGATCACCTGTACAATTATGGGCTCATATCAATACCAAAATGCTTTGCAAAATAATTTTGGAAAGAGTTCAAGAAAGTCATTATCTTCAATTCCTTGTTGCCCTGCACATATGCATTGCAGCAGAAACATTGTGGGTCATCATGTAATGTATTTCTTCTTTCCATTTCAATTTAGTTAACCCGCTCGACTTTCATCAAAGATGTTAAAACCAAGAAACCAAATTGCATTTGTCTTACAAAGTGATGCAGTCTGGGCGTATTCCCACGGGACCTGGCCTACTTTGCGGTCCAAACTACCTCAGGTAGAACGACCTAACCTACTCTGACTTAAAGATCCCACATGGATCCCGAGGCATAATGAAACGTTCGATATTGTTATGTCTTGGGACTATTTGAAATCCTTGCGAATGCCACGGCAGCAGGATTATTTCTCTCCAAGCCATACGCAGACAGGCAACAGATGCAACGGTACAGATAAAAGTCCCAGCACGATAAGTCATGGAGAGCTCTTTAGCAAAGACTCTGTGAACGGAATACTTTTAACTCAAAGACCATCTCTATATAGGATCAACGATCCGCCGATATGCTGAGTAGAGAATACCCTGTCCGGCGGCATCGTTTCAGCAAACCCCACACACCGCCCGCTAATGTTGCAATCTCGCCGGCTTTCCTCCAACTGCCTTGACTTTCTTTCACCATTAGCGCACGTCATCTCACCAAAGCCGCGCTGTGCAGATCGGCCATATCTTCTAAGTGGGAAATTCTGCTGACACTGTAAACGAATCTCCTCCTGTAAGAGGCTCATACCTAATATGGAAGACCACATCCCGTGTTAGTGTGACAGATGATGCTGGAATAAAACCAGGCAGGAAATGTCGATAGATCCTCTGTGTTTACCTTACACGGGATATCCTTCGATAAGTATGACTGATTGCAGGTATCCGCAAATTGTCATGCCGTCACTATACTCATAGCCACAGGAAGCAGCAGCATTAGGGAAAGATCGGAGATAGGTGTCCTCACCTTTACCTAAACTTTGAAAGCACAATGACTGGTAAGCAGGAAGTATGGATTGAATGTGCTTTTCTTGCAATGATAGTAATTCAAGTCCTGAAGTTTAGCTCTGTTCTTTTTACCTGGCAATGTTTTGTGGAATCAAGGACATTATACAGAAGTGTAATGTCCTTGGTGGAATCAACTTGTTTAATGAAACAGTACATCATCTAGCCAGCTCCAAAACTACAAGCGTCGGGTGTCCTACATTGATATTGTTGGTGTGTTACAGAAATAAGAAACCATGCATATCATTAAGGCACAGGCGCCCTCAGGGAACGTCTGCAGTCTGGCCTGAAGCAGGCAGATGGAAAAATAAAGAAGTTATTAATCACACGACAAGTTCAATGACAGTGACAGCTTCGGCGTTTCTAATCTCCTTGTGAAAATTGATCCCGACATCTCGACGACTGTGCGGCTCTGGAGCAGAACGCCAAAGCCCTTTACCCACTTAATGAAAATTCCAGTTGACACGTTAAGACCTGACGTACAGCAGGTTTTAATATCGTCGCTGGCAGGCTGTGCGCCGGAGATACGGGTGGAACTGCCCTTGTATGTTGGAAACACACCGGTAGTCGTTTACACAACGGAAGGCTAGTGACATTTATTCGGCACTGCGCGAATCCCTTATGAACAAGATTCCACACTACGTAAATGCCACATCGTATTCAAGTCTGTCAAAAGAGTCTACAAACTTTAACAAAGCCAGACAGAGAGATTGCGCTATACGCCTCCCAATGGCAACTGCCCAATTATTTTCAGCGATGGTAGTATGCAGAGCAGCATAGTCTTGTCAATATTGACACAAATTATCCTTCAGGAACATACGTGTCCCTTAGTAGTTTGGCAAGAAATATGCCTATAGGCTCGAAGAATCCCTCCCTCATGGGCATTGCCTATGGTACAGGAAGAAAGCTGCACACAGACCCAGAGGGCATCGCATCCCCCGGGTTCAACAATGGCATGAAATTACGAAGCAATTTCATACAGCTTAAGTCCATGTCTGTACCTATGAGATAAAATTTTCAGTAATGGCAACGCGTAAGTCATTTTGCTCGAAAGCAAACAACCACCGAAGGCAATCACCATCAGAATCCATTACTGCATGGAAAAGTAGGACGCAGCACAGTTGCGGAAAAGCCTCGCAATCGACAACCCAAATACAGATAAATGTGGCAATCTCTTGTGATTTCAACGGCTGTCGCAGGTCCTAAAAGCACTTTAGGACTCGAACGCAGCCCCGAATATCTTATGCATTAAAATGATCCGTGATCTCTGCATGAATTCATATTTCCCTGTCGACAAGTACATTGCTGTTGTTTTAAATCGGAATTAACGGTAACGCCTGTTTTAAATGATGCTTTCTCACGAAATCGTGTAAAATCCCAGTAATTTGCTATGTAATGCGCTGGAATGATCCATGAGGATCCGGACTTGCCTAATGGTAATTCCTTCCATTACGTAGGTTCTGCCTAATGACCAATCCGTGGCGTTTGTTTTCCGCTTTTATCTCAGGCGTTCAGATAGATATCCTGTAAAATCCAAGTGATTTGCTGCACAAGGCGGCATTATCAATGACGAGGGAAACACAGTGCACTGCTTGAATACCGAGTCGGAGTCTTTGTTGACAGACGCTCCGAATAGGATGTTGTTAATGTTAGGACGGTCACCCCCATTTACAAATCGTAAATTTCAAGTCAATCCATTCGTCTTAAGTGATATTAATCGAATTTGAAAAATTCGCACTGTGTTTTCAGTGGATGTCTTAAGACGACGATCAGGATCTCTATAGCTACCGATGGAGAGTTAGATTCGAGTATATGTCATCACAAACTCCGATCAGGATCTCTACCGGTAGAATCGCCGATCTACCAAATCGAAGTCTCTACTCTGACATATATCTTGTCTATTATCGTGATGATAAGTTCAGGCGTGACTTAGGTGATGTTTTGCCGCTTCTCTATTTGCCTGGTAAAGTCCATGACCCTTGCCCCTATCAGCCGGTCCCCCTACCCGCCCCGCACTATAAATGTACCCTCCCCGTCGGCACCGACCAGTAGTATATCCGTCAGGCTGCCTGCTGTCGGCTCCTATCGGATCTCTCCAATTGGTATCTCATTTCTGGGCCGGTCGGCTGTCGGCGACGAGGGCGGATGCGCGCCGGTGATAAGGGGAAGGTGCTGGGTTAAAACAACGGTCGGTTACACGGGAGCGGCTACCCGGTCATCGGCCCACGATGCCGCGGCTGTTTGATCTTCTCCTACTGGTCCTCGGGGTCGAAGGGTGCCTGGCTGATACAGGTCGGTGTGAGAGCGTTAGGAATGCGTTATGTGTGTGGCGAGTGGAAGCTGTCAAGAACAAATCGTTGAGTAGATTTCCATCTGTACAGAATGCTGCATGGTATCAGTGCAGATAATCTCCGTCGGTGTGTTGATTGTAGAAAGTAGGTTTGATTTTGCCAATTCAGGTCAGTGTGAGAGTGCAGGAATGCGTTATGTGGCTGATGTCAAGAACAATGAGTTGAATTGCATTCCGTCTGTAACTCTAGAGTATATTTACATATAGAACGATGTGTGATATAAGTGCAGATAATCTTCTTCAACATGCTGATTATAGAAGAAAGGGGAACAAAAGTAGTGCTTTTGGTGTCTTTGTGAAAGCGGCAGGAACGCATTATGTGTGGCAGACGGCAGTAGCCGTGCTAGATGCCTTCTGCCCTGTATCTGTAGGGATGGTCGCGGGCAGATCATTGCACGATAATGTCATCTCTTTCCGATAATCTCATATGATAAGCTGATTTGATAAAGAGCCATAGATATGGAGTCTGTTCCCATTCAAAATCAGATTTCCAATCCCATGAACAGATGCATTTTATCAGACTGCGAGGGATACAGTATGCGCGTGCCAACACTTACAGCAGTAGTGAACACAGTTTGGGGCTGTTTCTACCCTGTATGTATATCTGAAATGTGCTTATTTGTGATAACAATTCATATCACCACCTTGGATAATTTCTTTTCTTCAAATTCAACGGAAGTTATCTATTATAGCATTTTACATGCCAAAGAAAGATCTTTTAATACTTGAAACGAATTCGACTCATTTCACATGAGCAGACAGTAGGGATTACAGTATGTGTGTGGCAGATGGGCGGCAGTTTGATACCTATTATGATAAATAGCTTCTGCCAGGCGCATCTTTGAGTAGATCAATGATATTGCTTATTAGATAATGTCATTCAATAAGCATTTCTAAAAAATTACAATAATGATGTTATTTGAATTCAACCTTTCCCATGCCAAAAGGCATAATTTTGGTTAGTATATAACATTTTTGTTTTTAAAATTGTTTCGGGTATCATTTATATCTTGAAAATATTTACAGACAGAACTTGGCACATTAGCATTACAAGCGTAGATCTCGCGCAATAGGCTAATCTCGTTTGATAAAGGCCAGTGGAGATATAGAAATGACGTTTAATTCCTTGTGCCTGCCAAAAACGGATCTTTTGGCCGGTTGCTAGAAACGAACACACGGTTCCTGTCGGTGGTAATGCTGTTGTTAACGCCAATAACTCTTTGTTGGTACCTGAATGCTCAAGCCTTTGGTATGACAGGCTGGTACAAACTTGAGATTGTGGTTTGGTCTGCTGTGTATGGTACTCTGCAAGGAAGCACCAGATCTGGGACATAAAGGTTCTTGAAAAATGCATATTTTTATTATTATTAACATCTAAATGTTCCTTAAGGCAACTCGATCATATGATTCTCGATGCTTTGTGATGAAACAGTAAGGACCTTCCAGAGTTGGGTCTGTCCCTGGTGCTGATTTCCCTGCTGCTACTGCGACTGACGGTACTCGCTGCAAACACATTCTATCGGCGATTTCAGCCATTCTGTATGTACCTTCGACAACTGGGATGCTTTGTACACTTAAAGAAAATTCCTGGCTTTGGTTTGGCCTCGGGTGCTGAGTATCTTGCTGTAGCTTTCATGTCGGTACCTGGCCTCAGTACGACAGGAAGGATTGTAGCGTCTGCAGTATCAACAGAAGTTTGGCTACTGGTCATGGTTGTCGTTATCTGTTACACACACTCAGGCGCCAGTTAAAGCCGTCATATCACACACACATTCCAGGAAAATCCTACAACAGCTGGCGGGTGTTAAGCTAATTAGATTGTGAGAAAATCCCAAGCACTTCGTTCTGGGAAAGAGACCGCCCCGATGTGAACGCCTGCCAAGCTCGTTCCCACGGTACCATGACACATGGCCGCCCAGGCAGAACGCATTCCCGTTTCCGCGTAGCCCGCCCAAAAAGCTTTTCATGGACTGAAAGCAGGAATCGATGAGACAAAATTGCATTTACGGCCAACGAGATATCGGCACGGACACGCTTGGAGGAGCTGAATTGAGATGAAAAGCTTCATTTCCCCAGAAGGATCGCAAATCATTGGACGATAAAGGGTTCTGAGGCAGATTTGCTTTGCCCTGCAATGGTCGGCATTATGGAGACGCTGATGTCAAGAGGTGCGCTGCTCACGGTTACCGCTAACTGCGTTTAAAGTCATTTTCATCGCCTGGCCAGCTCCTAGTCTCCGCGGCACATACCGATGACAAATACCGAAACGAAAAGCGTATACATTATCTCTTCGCAAATGGTAATCTCCCTGAAGGAGGTACAACAGTCATTGGTGAATGTTTGAATGCGCATTCACAGTAATAGACGCAGGGATCTGCCAACAATCTTGCTTGAACGCTATAAAAACGAAAACCCTTACACCATCTCGTAGCTGCACTGGTAATCTAGGTAAGCTGGGTTTAAATCTGCCAATGCCGGAAGTAGACCATTTAAGTCAAAGGAAAATATTGCACACCCAGGGTAATGGAATTGGGGATTAGCAGCCAGCAGTTTTCCGGCGGCAGAAGCTGGATGAAGGATAACCGTCGGGCTACGGGAGACGCTGAGCCCCTCTAATTACTATCTACGTGGAGATAAGACATGGGGGGACGTTTGAGACAAGTACAGCGGGCGTCTTGTAACAGATTACGCTGTTCCCAATCTACAGCCCACAGCGAATGATCAAGTCTGCTGTTTAGACCAATTGTACTGACGCATATGGAAAGAGTGTCTCCTTAAATGAATTGCTACTTACTACCAATCGCAAGCAAGTACGGCAAATGATTAACTATTTTCCTTGGGCCAAGGGTTCAATGGGCATCAATAGTTAACGTTGTCCTTGAACGCACGTTAGTGCATGTATAGGACCCCCGAGCGACGTATACACAGCAAACAAACTAGTTCATGGGACACTCTCATATCCTGGATTGCTTGTTATCGCATCAGACCAAATATCGCCTTCCATTTCACGCACGTAAAAATTAGGTCAGGTCTCAGTAGAATGTATGGCAGTCACGGCCGTATATCTGTTACTTACTCTACACCATGCCGTAATGGGCTCGTGACCGGGAGAGATTTTTCACACACTTATCAGACGATGTATCTAATTGTATATAGAGGCTCATGTACGATCCGCTACTGATATTGACCATTTTTGTTGATGGAATACGCTGATAGGGACCCTTTCAACGACAGAAGTGGATAATTCGTCCTTGCTGCGACCTTTTATGAGTGAGCCAGTGCTCTCTTTCTCTCTCTGTCCCTCTCTCTCTTCATCTTCTTCTTCAAGTTCTACTCAGGCTTCACCTGCGAATCAAGTTGCTCAAAGACTTGGACTCAGTTTCCAGTCTTTAATCAGAGCTTCTGTTTCATAAGATGAAAAAGGGGCCCGGATATCCTTCACGGATCGGCTCCGCTGTCGGCAGTGTTACAGTTGAGTAATTGGAAGCGCGATGATAGACACAGAGGAACGGTGTCCACAGACAGCGAGCTGTGGTGAAATCAAGTCCTCATTACTGTCTCCTACTTTAACAGTGCGGGCTGATTGTGTAACCTGTCTCTCGGGCGCACTGCGCGATTCATTTTGAACTTCCATTTCCGGGCCGTCTACTCAAGAGAAGTTTTCTTCTCCGTCACAAACCACAGAACAGATTGAGGCGAACTTTATCAAACTTCCGATCCAGGTCCCATGCTTGTACGTTAGTGGTGGGTATCCTGCCATCTGGAGAGATGATGGAACCACTCGGCCTTGGTGTTATGGCCATGGGTAGCGTCTTGTGTGGCTTGTTCTTTATTGACTTTAGAATCTATAAAGGTGAATGGAAAGTGCACCCATATAAGATTTTTTATCAAACCTTCCTTTCTAGTGGTACAGCACATCTGGTCCCTTTGCTCCTAGATCCCCCTGAATATGATACGCATTGCCGGTTTCCGAATCTCAACGAAAGTGACCGCGATGTAGGTATTGTCGGTCGACTGGTGAAACTGAAACGTAAACTCTATCTGCATATTTGTGTGATTACAGGTGTTGTATTCATTCATACCTATAGCATATGCAAGTCTGTCTCTTTAGGTATAACAGACCAGTACTGCAGCTGTGCCGGCAATGCGAACACCTTTTGGGGCGAAAGGAAAGTGCTGAGATCAGTCCTGCCATGGCCTGCCCCTAAGCTGATAAAAGAGAAACACATTTCCTGCTATCTCCAGATGGTGCATAGGAAGGCGCCCATCTGCATTCTATAGCTCTTGGGCCACAGAGTTTTGCAATTATTACAGCAGAGGCTAGTCCGCTGGTAATAGTGGCGTATGTTCAACTCTTATACATACCCTGGGCAAATGCTTAGTGCTAAAACGTGAAAACAGTATGTACCATATGAAGTCGGTTGGGGATCGTTCTAGCGACCTACCAAATGCAAAGCGATCACTTTAGCCATGTACTTACCCATTGCAGCGATACTCCCACCGTCTTACTCTGGCGCCCTGCCTCTAAGCTGATAAAAGGGGCACATTAACAGCTATATTCAGACTTCTAAGAAATGTCAGACTGCTGATATTTCCCCGAGCTCCTTCGCTCGCTCAGGTGGTGTAAAGACATTTTATGGAGAGAATTTCGATGCCAATGTCTTTATGGACTTTTTTAAACCGCGATTGTTCCTGAGCAAACTGAAAATGTGATTTTTTTTAATGGGCGTTCCGATATTGTAGCACACTTTGATGAATCTGAAAATGTCGTTATAAATCGATTTTTCATGAATTCTGTATATTTTCGATGCAGATTAAACGATATGATGCAGCATATAACATCTACATATCAACACATATTACAAAAAGATTATTATATTGCTTTACGTAAACCTCCGACCAAAGGCTTGTAGCCGTGATTTGTTACTATTAATAAACCCTT